ACACACACACACACACACACACTGCCCTGTGTGTTGGTGATTATGCAGTTTTACCTCTTACCACCAGTGTGTTAACTGATCATTTCACGATCCGCTTGGGTGCATTGGTATCAAGTTGTTAGTTAAGTATCGGAGCCGTGCAGTCACGTAAGCTTGGCGTGCTAAGTGTAAGTGAAAGAGGAGCACGCATGGACTTGTGTGACAAGCACATTGAGTAATATACTACACCATAGGCACATCGACTTTATAGTAATATAATATACCTTAGGCACATCGACTTTATAGTAATATAATATACCTTAGGCACATCGACTTTATAGTAATATAATATACCTTAGGCACATCGACTTTGTATACGGCATGCACATCGAGTAATATAATATACCACAGACACATCGACTTAAATGACATTGTATTGTAATACATCGACTGTACATGTTAGACACGTCGACTTTAGATAGTATGCGCATGAACTTTATGTACAGACACGTCGTCGACTTTATATGATAGACACATCGGTTATTATAACTTGCACATGAACTTTGTATACACATAATGACAAAATGCACGTTGGCTTTATATTATAGCATGCACATTAACTTAATATACAGACTTATCGACTTCATATTAAAAGGACATGAACTATATATTTACAGACTCATCGACTTTATAATGTGAAAGAAACATCGACTTTATATTGCTTAACCCCATACGAATCATACGAACTAGTGTATGTACGTACATACGTCAAATAAACGGCATGGAAACTTAGGCTACGACGGATATAACCTATTACGTATAAACAGCATTCATGCGTCTACTGTATGAGATCGGCAATATGATCACTCGTTGGATGCGTTGAGATTCCTTTTTTATGAAAGTATGTTTGCACAATCAGGAAACGACAAATGCAGTTTTTGGAACACATAAATAGACATAAGGGTCTTGAACATCTAGATCTCACTGGCAAAATTGAGGGCAGGCGAGGCAGTGGAAGGCCCAGAACAACATACTTAGGGATCCTAAACAAATGGGTAACGGGGAAAGATCAGGGAAACGTAGCTTTTTCAAGAGCATCCGAGCAAAGGAATGAATGGAGAACCATGGTCGCCTATGTCTGTCGCAGATCTGGCTCTGGATGGTGATGATAGATAGCGGGCTACCGACCCTGCCTGTCAGGGCCAACCTGAGATGAGAGGGATACAACATTCCAGGAGGAACACCGAAATGCTCGATAAACATTTCTCCCTAATCGCGACTCGAATTCGGGTCCCTCCTGCGTTCGACAGCGAACCGCCTACTATAACCGCTATACCACAAACTTAGGTTCCATTAAGATCCCCAGAGACAGGGAAACGGTATTCCGTGAGAGAAATAGTGTTTTGTCTTGCTTTGGTTTGGTTTTGCTTTTGGTTTTTTGACCCACGAAAATGCATACCCCCCCCC